CTTCTGCTCACACCTACTTCTGGAAACCCGCTTCTCCTTCCAGACTCCCATTCCCTTCTGATGCTGCTTCTTTTTTTTTAAGATTGGCACCTGAGCTAACATCTGTTGCCAATCTTCTTTTTTTTTTTTCTTTTCTTCTTCTTCCCAAAGCCCCCCAGTACATAGTTGTATATTCTAGTTGTAGGTCCCTCTGGTTGTACTAAGTGGGACACCACCTTGGCATGGCCTGACAGGCGGTGCCATGTCCGCGCCCAGGATCTGAACCGATGAAACCCTGGGCCGCCAAAGTGGAGTGCAAGAACTTAACCACTCAGCCACAGGGCCGGCCCCCGCTGTTTCTCTTTTTGACAGCCATGCCTCTGTGGCCTTTGAATACTGCTGTTTCTCAGAGCCTCCTCTTCCCGTCCCTGGTCACTTTATGCACTGCTGTGCTCGTCCATTTATGCTGACAGCTTGAAATCTCCATTTCTTACTCCTATATCTCTCCAAACTCCAGAACCATTCTTCTACCCACCATCAGGACATGGCCATCCACATTTCCTACTGGCATCTCAACCTTAACATCTGCAAAACCAAAGTTATTCTTTTCCCCCCAGCTCTGCTGCTTATAAGCTGTGTCACCAGGGCGCGATATAGGAACATGTTTGAGATCCAGTTCCTGTACTTGTACGTGGGAATGAGCCCCTGTGGTGAGTTTCAGATGAGCGAGTGTGAGAGAGCTGTGGTGCCCATGGCAGGCACACCACAGGCACTCAGGCAGTGCAGGTTGCTGCCTTCCTCTGTCGCCATCCTCCACCCAGCCTACTTCTCCCTGAACAACTCCTATGCCAGTTTTCAGCCACCCAGGACACAAACCCAAGGCTTCTGCATCTTATTAGCTGCTAATTCCGGTAAGCCCCGCCTCAGAAACAGCTCACACATCTCCTACTCGCTCTTGCTACAGTCACCGCCCGATTCAGGGCTTCGTCAGCTTATGTCTGGCCAATCGCCTCAGCCTCCGTTTGCCTCCCAACCTGTCTGCACGTGGTGGCTGAAGTGACCCTTCTAGAACAAAATCATAGTCATATCATTCCCTTGCTTAAAATTCTGTGATAGCTCCTAGGATCTGTCCAAATTCTTCAGCCATATAGTTTCTTTCTTTTTCGCTCTGGCCTCACCTCCCGCCATTTCTCCGGTGAATCCTGCTCAGCCCTCCCTCACCTCTCTCTCTATTTTCTTGCTTTTAAGCCTCAAACACCTGCTCTTTCAGCCTGAAATGTCTTTTTCCCCCTCCGCTGCCCCCCACACCTCTGCGTGGCAAACATTAGTCATCTTTCAAGGCCACTAAAACTACCCTCCTCAGGGACATGTAGTCACTTCTCCCTCTAAGCTCCCACGACTCGTGGTGATGCCTCAGTCTTTCCTTTAGCAAACACGCCTACTACGTGCCTAAGAGTGTTCCCAGCACTTTGCAAATATTAACACACTTGATTTTCATAACAAACCAATGAGGTGATTATTCTTTTTTTTTAAGATTTTTTAAAATTTTCCCTTTTGCTCTCCAAAGCCCCCCGGCACATAGCTGTATATTTTTAGCTGTGGATCCTTCCAGTTGTGGCATGTGTGGTACCACCACAGCGTGGCCTGCTGAGCAGTGCCATGTCCGCACCCAGGATTTGAACCGGCGAAACCCCGGGCTGCTGAAGTACAGCGTGCGAGCTTAACCACTCGGCCACAGGGCCGGCCCCAAGGTGATTATTCTCATTATCCCTGGTACAGGGGAGGCACCTAAGGCTCCTGAGAGGTTGAGTCTCTTGCCCAAGGTCACTCAGCTAAAGGTGGCAGAGCCAGCACTGGAACCCAGGCCGAGTGGCCCCAGAGTCTGGGCTCTGATTCATCCCATTGTGCAGCCTCTCTGCTTGAATAAGTGTCATTGAACACTTAGTATTAAGCTAAACAATATGAAATTACCATTATTTGACCATTTTTGACCTATAAAAGCAGCGCATTTGTGTCGTTCAGTGTCCTGGCACTTGGGATACAGCAGAAAACTCACCGGACAGACACATCTTTGCCTCCAGAGAGGAAACAACAGTAGAGTGTGACGATGGGGGAAGAACAAGGAGTCGAGTGAGTGTGTGACCTGAGTTAGCGGGTCTGTGAGAGCCCTTGCCGAGGAAGTGCTGTCTAGGAGAAGACGTGCAAGAGGAGTGAGAGGCGAAGGGGGAGTTTGGAGGTGAGGTTAAGGGAAGGGACTTCCACGCAACCTTGGAACAGCATAGGCTGAGGCCTGAAAGCCAAGAGAAAGAGCTGTCCACTCTGTCACCCAGAACTTAGTACCTGGCACAGAGCAGGTGCTCGATAAGGATTTGTCAAGAGAATAAATGCAAAACAGAAAGAAGTCAAAAGAGCTGGAGTTAATACAGTGAAAGTGAGGTTTTAAGCAGGAGAGTGGTCTGCTCGAATTTACTTTTTTATTCTTTTATTTTAAAGTCAGGTTTAATGAGTTATAATTACAGACAGTAAAATTCACCCTTTTCTGTGTACAGTTCTACGAGTCTTGATAAATGCGTCAGCCATGTTGCCGCCATCACAGACAAGATATAGAACAGTTTGACCACATCCCAAAACTCCGCTGCTGCCCCTGTGTGGCCAGCCCCTTCCTGACCCCCAGGGAGCCGCCCGTCTGTTCTCTGCTGCAATCCCTTGCTGTTTCCAGAATGTCATATGTATGGACTCAAATAGCATGTAGCCTTTTGAATCTGGCTTCTTTACTTAGAATAGTCCATTTGCAGTGCGTCCCTATCGTGTGTGTCAGTAATTGGTTCCTTTCTTTATTGCCGAGTAGAATTCTATCATATAGCTGCACCACAGTTTGTTTATCCCACGCTCACCAGTTGAAGGGTCCAAATTCATGTTAAAAAGCACCCCATCATGCTCCTAGTCTAAACGGAGCGGAGGCCTCGCATCCCTGCCATTTGCTCTCAGGTCTTTGCCTGGCTGGACTGTGAAGGGTGGAGACCAAGACTATGTCTTTGTCCTTTGACTGTTCTCGGCACCCAGCCAGGACACAGCTGGCTCTGAGTGAGGAATGGGAGCCACTTGGAGCGGTTGTGGAGGACAATGTGGAGAAGGAGGGCCACGTGCCTTCCCTGAGGACTGTGTCTGGCAGTAGGGGGTGAAAATTGGGTGCTTGGCTTTGGGGAAGAAGGGCTGGAGAAGAAGGGCCTGCAGCTGAGAACAGAGCAAGCCAGAGAGTCTGGCCTTAACTTCAACTTGGAACAAAAGTGGGGGAAACAAAACAGAACAAAACAAAAACCCGTCACATGCGGTGGAAGTGTCTCCTCCCTCCCCGGGGGAAGCTAAGTCCATCTGTGGCACGCGCCATAGAGGCTGCAGGTCTTCCCTTGACCGACAGATGGCGATATAGTACTTGTGCTTGAACGGGGCCTCTGCAGTCACCCCATTCATTCGCCAGGCCTGAGTGCTGAGTGGCCCATTAGGCGCTACACGCTGGTGGGAAGGACCTTAGAGATCACATCTGTAACTTTTATTTTACAGGTGAAGGACTCGCCCATACTCCTGAAGCTGTGTTTCTCTGAGCAGGGGCTCAGACCCAATTTCTGGGTGCTTTTCCCTTCCTGTACAGCCCCCATCTCTGGAGAGAGGACAGTTTGTGGAACCATCCGCTGTGGGAGGGGTCTGCAAGCTAGGGGGCAAAGGCAGAGGGACAGATGGCCATGACCACAAGGCCTGGCCAATCTAACTCTGCCACCCGTTTGCTGTGTGACCTCAGCCAGCTTGCCTTTCCTCTCTGGTCCTCAGTCTCCACATCTGTGAAAAGTTGAACTTCCAGCTTTAAAGTACTTGGTGGTAGAGAGAAGACTGGGATGAAAAAGACACACAGCTCACATTCTACTGGGGGCTTCAGCTCGTAAATAACTAATCCTGTGCCAGGCCAACTGGAAAGGCTGCAGGGTGCCTTTCTGGCAGTGTGCATGTCTCTTTTGGCTGGTAAATAACTGTTGACCCAGCACTAGGTTTGTCAGATAAAATATAGGACACTCAGTTGTATTTTAATTTCAGGTAACCGACAGATAACATTTTTTTGTTTGAGGAAGATTGGCCCTGAGCTAACATCTGCTGCCAATCCTCCTCTTTTTGCTGAGGAAGACGCCCTGAGCTAACATCCGTGCCCATCTTCCTCTACTTTATATGTGGGATGCCTACCCCAGCATGGCTTGCCAAGCGGTGCCATGTCCGCACCCAGGATCCGAACTGACGAACCCCGGGCCACCAAAGCGGAACATGTGCACTTAACCGCTGCGCCACCGGGCCGACCCCAACAGATAATTTTTAAGTATAAGTATGTTCTAAATATCGCCTAGGATATATTTATACTAAAAATATCTATGATGTTTGTCAGATATTTAAATTTAATTAGGCGTCCTGCCAATCTTCCTCTTTTTTTTTCTTCTCCCCAAAGTCCCCAGTACATAGTTGCATATTCTAGTTGTGGGTCCTTCTAGTTCTGCTATGTGGGATGCCACCTCAGCATGGCTTGTTGAATGGTGCTAGGTCTGCGCCCAGGATCCGAACCAGTGAAACCCTGGGCCACCAATGCCGAGCGCGTGAACTTAACCACTGGACCATGGGGCCGGCTTCAAGCCTCCTGTATTTTTATTTGCTCAATCTGGCAACCTTGTCCAGCCCACAGGGCCCACCCAGCACCCCAGCCCCTCTCCTTGGCCCCCCAGATCTTCACCCTGATTGGCTAGTACCCAATTTGCTGGTTGTTAAATATTTTGACAATCACCCCTGACTATAAGAAAGGTAGCCAATGACCAGAAGGACCTACAACTGGAATATACAACATGTACTGGGGGTGCTTTGGGGAGAAGCAGAAGAAGAAGGAAAAAAAGAAAAGAAGATTGGCAACAGTTGTTAGCTCAGGTGCCAATGTTTAAAAAGAAAAGAAAGGCAGCCCAAATATAATGCTGTTGTCTCTCTTTCCCTCCCAGGCCTGGCACTCCTGCTGCCCCCTGCCACTCTGGCCACCCTGGTGGATGGCTGGCTCCGAGAAGACTGCCCAAGCTTCAATCATGCAGGCTTGGTCACGGGGGCAGCCCCCTCGCAGGCAGCATTGTGGGCCAAGTCCCCAGGGATACTGGCTGGGAGGCCTTTCTTTGATGCCATCTTTGCCCACGTCAACTGCCAGGTCTCTTGGCTCTTCCCCGAGGGATCAAAGCTGGTGCCTGTGGCCAAGGTGGCAGAGGTCCGGGGCCCTGCCAACTGCCTGCTGCTGGGGGAGCGGGTGGCCCTGAACATGCTGGCCCGCTGCAGTGGAGTTGCCAGTGCTGCCGCTGCGGCTGTGGAAGCTGCCAGGGGAACCGGCTGGGCCGGGCACGTGGCGGGCACGAGGAAGACCACACCAGGCTTCCGGCTGGTGGAGAAGTATGGGCTCCTAGTGGGCGGGGCCGCCTCCCACCGTTATGACCTGGGAGGGCTGGTGATGGTGAAGGACAACCACGTCATGGCAGCTGGTGGTGTGGAAAAGGTGCATGTCTGACTGAGCCCCTGCCCTGGCCCTGCTCCCACCCCGCCATCACAGCCCTTCTCCTCTACCAGAGACCCCCAACCACTCCTGGCGAATAGTGATGTCAGGAGAAGCAAGACTCCTCCACCCCTCAGACGTTCCATCTGTGAAACGAGGGGTTGGATCGCTTTCCTACCAGCGTTCTTCTTGGTATGACGTTCAGAAGCAAAGGACAAACCATGGGGAGCCAGTGTTGATGGCTTTGCGACCTTGGGCATGTCACTTTAACTCCTCAGACCTGTTTCCCATCTGTGAAAATGTTCTTGAAGACCCCTTCCAGTTTTAAGATTCTGAGTCAAATTGAACTCAGGTCCAAATGCCAAATCTTGCTGATATTTGGCCATTTTTTTGACCCACAGAGGTAGTAATTTCATGTGGTTTCACCTAATATGAAAGAAACCATCCGATGCCTGGTTTCCTCATTAACCCCAAGCTTGTTATCCATCTGGAGCCTTTCGAATGCCCGTCCCCTGTGCCCCTCACTGTGATGCTGTGCCAGGTGCCACCTGTCTCACTCTCGCCCTTCGGCTTGCCTGACAGGCGGTGCAAGGGGCCCGGCAGGCAGCCGATTTTGCCCTGAAGGTGGAAGTGGAGTGCAGCAGCCTGCAGGAGGCTGTGGAGGCGGCCGAAGCAGGTGCGGACCTCGTCTTGCTGGACAACTTCAGGCCTGAGGTGAGGCAGGGTCTGCTTCCTGGGAAGGGGCCACGTGGGTGGCTCTCACCTTCCCTTGGCTTGTGTTCCGCAGGAGCTGCACCGCACGGCGGCAGCACTGAAGGCCCGGTTCCCAGGTGTGGGCGTGGAGGCCAGCGGGGGCATCACGCTGGGCAACCTTCCTCAGTTCTGTGGGCCCCACATCGATGTCATCTCTTTGGGGATGCTGACCCAGGCTGCCCCGGCCCTCGATTTCTCCCTCAAGCTGTTTGCTGAAGGGGCCACTCCAGTGCCCTACACCCACCGGACCTAAAGCCAAAGAAGATGACCCTGCCAGTGGGATAACATAGTTCCTTGGGACCCTCAAGGTTATACGTGGCCAACAGGACATTCTCGACATTAGCCTGGGCGAAAGTCCAGGCTCTGCCACTCGCTGCTCATGTGACCTCAAAGGGCTGGCTTCATCTCTGCTCATCTCAGTTTCCTAATCTGTAAAATTAGCCTAATAAATGATCGACCTAATGAATTTCTTTCAGTGATAATTAACACATAGTAAGTGCTCAGTAAGAGTTAGAAATTGCCATATATGGTTCATCTACTCTAAGATGCACTTTTTTTTCACACATTACCTTCTCTGAAGTCCAGGTGTGTCTTTAGTCAATGGTGTCTAATGGTTACCGTCAGCCAGGCATTGGTCGTGGTCATGTAGCCATCACGGCCTGTGCATGCAGCTTGTAGATAAAATATGATAACAATCTATGTTGAGATAAGTCCAAAAGAGCTCTTTCAACAAGCTTAAAATAGGAATTGTAAGTGATAAGAAAGCATCGGTCATAGTTTGACAGTTTTCTTTTCGAGTAATGGTATGCGTGTTACAGTCAATGGCATCTTATATTTGAGGATATATGGCATCAGCCTTGATATTCAGCTGGAACATTGCACTTGGTCGATGCCTGTGTTGTACCGATTCTTAAGTATTTTGCCTCTCACCTCTGGCTACTGTTATACCTCTTTGGTAGAGGCGAGAACCTGTCCGTTCCTCACTTCTGGGGTCCCCATTAGACTCCACTATGCATCCTCCCCAAAATGAAAGACCTCCGCTTGGTGCTGAAATCCTTTTTGGGTCTGGTTCCATGGGGCTCTCATTAGTTGGGAGAGGACGGTAGGTACAGAGCAGATGGGACCAGAGAAAAGTTCAGTTGAGGGAGGAAGGGATGAGTGGCTGGGGGTCCAGGTTCAGATGTCAAACTTCCTTCCATGCTAAGTCAGGACTCAGGGATCTAAGGAGAGGATTTAAATTCAGTCCCCCAAACACACCTGAGGTCTCACTCACCTGCCCCTACCATCACCTCAAGCCTTGGGGGCCCACTCTCTAACCCTTCCTGGGTATCTCTGAGAGGAACCAGGACATGAGGGTTCCCTAGGGTAAAGGTGGTCCCCAAGGTGACTCAAGAAGGTTCACCTCCCAGAAGGGCTCCTCTCAGAAGGGCCCAGTCTGGAGCTGCCTCTCCCCTCTGAGAACCCACTTTCTTCTCTGTCCTTTGCCAGCAGGAGAGAAAAACAACTCTCCTCCACAAAGGCTTCTTCCCCAGGAGGATTCTGAGGGTCCCAGTCTGCCTTGAGGGAGGTATCCTACTCCTTTGCTCCTTCCCCAACCCTGGAGACCAGCAAGGGGCCTGGGACGGGGCAGATCAAGAAAACAACAAGCTCATCTCAGATGTCAAAGCCCCAGACAGGCCAAGGCCTTTGTCCTTCATGCACCAAACATGCACTGGGCACCTGCCACGGCCAGGCTCTGAGCACACAGCAGAGATTCATCTAACAGAGGTGCCAAGCAGAAGTGGATGCCGCTTTTGGTGATACCTTGAACTAAAGAGGCCATTCTCACAGGACACAGCCTAGCGGTGCCACCTGGGGCTGCATCTGTTCTCTCTAATACGCACCTCCACCCCTGCGTCCTTCTGCCTTTTCTCCAGGGAAAACACGGACACACTCAGCTAGGCAGCCTTCCCTGCTCCAGGGAACTTGGATCTCCGAGCTGCAGCTCCTCAGACCTGAAGGGGGAAAACTGAACCCCCATAGAACGAGGGGCACTTCTGGATGCCACGACAAGGAAGTTGGGACCCATGGATGAGCTGGGAACTGGAAGGCGAAACACTTGGGATCTAGGAGGGAATCAGAGGCTGACAGACCAGAAGGAGAAGTGTACCAGGAGTCACAAACTCAAATGCCTCCAGGACCCAAGCAGATAAAATAAATGGAGGAAGCCAGAATAAGACAAAGGGGAGCAGGCTGTGGCCAACTGGAGAATGTATGCTGCACCCACAGTATTCCAATTAGGAAAGAAATCTACCAGGCTGAGTCTCAAGCTCACCCTCGAACCCAGAAATGGGTTAGCCCTACAGGAACCTCCAGATCTGCGAGCTGGGCGGTGATTCCATTATGCAAGGAGATGGATCCTGGTCAGGCAAAAGCAACACGTGCCCTCCTCGCTGGGGAATGGATTTCTAGGCAGAGGAGACTGCATTGGCAAAGGCTCAGAAGTAGGAAATGGCTTGGATTGTTTGATTTGAAGCTGGGATCAGGAGAGGCAAGATGGCTAGGAGCTGGGCTGGGTCCAGACCACAAAATGGTAAGTCAGAGGACTCGGACTCTGTCCCAAGAACAGTCAGATTGAAGCTGGAAAGTGAGATAAGCATATTTGCAGTTTAGGTCCAGTCCACTCCAGGAAGATGTATTTGAGGGGGTCAGAGTGGCTGCAGAGAGACCAGGAGGGGGCTGATGCAGCCACTCAGAGGGCTTGAATGTGGGTCTTGGCAGTGGGGTTGGAGAGAAGAGAATGCAGGCGGAGGAAACATCTGCAAAGGCTTCGAGCACAGCTGGAACCTGATGGGTTCAGGGCAGTGGGAAGAGTTGGGTATGGCTGTGGGGATGGAGAGAGAGGGGTGTGGAAGGCAGAAGAGGAATCTGATACCTCACCTGGTAACGCCCTATCTATCTGGCTACACTTCCTCCCCGCCTGGCCAGCCTGGGATGAGGCTTGAATGATTTCTCTAGGCTGCCCCACACCCAGCTTAAAGCCCATGCCGATTACGGCAAATGTGCCGAACAAATCGGGTGCTGCTGTCAGCATATAATGCATCAGCAACGCTGGCTGGTGGGTGAGAAGGGAACATGCGTTGACTGAGTGCCCTTGCTCAGCAGGTGTAGGTCCCTGTCCCTCAATTAATACTCTTGGGGAGTGGGTGTTAGCATCTCCATTTTACGCATAAGAAACTGAGGCTTTGTGATGTTAAGAGAGCTGCTCAGGATCACATATCAATAGAGCAGTAAAGCAGAATTTGAATCTGTATCATTCACTCATTCAATAAATATTTATTGAATGCCTACTATGTGCCAGGCTCTATTCTAGATGTCAGATTTACAACAGGGAGGAAACAGACAAAAGTTCCTGTCTATATTCTAGTGTCAGGGGTGAGGTGGCGGTCGGGAGAATAAACAGTGAAAAAATACCTAATACTAAATGGCAAATCCTCTCCTGGCCACCAGAGGGCACTGCAATCACACCAGCTTCCACTCCCCTCTAAAGTCCATCTCCCTTTCTGGGTTCCAAAGATAACAGCCCAGGAGGCTGTGAAAGCTAAGAGTAGCATCAGCTTAAGAAGGCAAGCTGAGGACGGGTGTGCAGCAGTTCCTTTTTTCACCCACTTTTCCAGCTTAATTCCCTCATCAGATCCCCATCTAAGTGCCCAAGGCATCTCAGTGATTTTTCAAGGCCCTGAGTACTCCAGAGATCACCAAGACTCACATTCACTCACCAGCCCATCCTTCCATTTACCCACCTGCCCACCCGCCTACCCTATCCACCCACTCAGCTTCTATCTATCCTCCTTCTCACCTACCCACCCGATCCATGCATCCCCTTTCCGTCAACCCATCCCTCTTCCCACCCTCCACCCACCCACCATTGGGGCGCTCTGTCTAGAGGGCAGAGAAGGCAAGAGGTCAGACCAGGTTGACAGAGCCAGTGAACTCAATGGGCGTGAGTTTTAGCGAGCCAAGGCCAGTGAAAGCTGAAAGCATTTAAAAATGGCAAGACATCATCAGCAAACCAAATGGTATCCAAAAACAATTCAACTTTGGATCTTTAAAAAATCCCACTGTGGTATTATGCGGTGTGGATACGTATATTAATTTACTGCTAGCCCTTCAAGACAATACAGTATGTAAAATTCCATAAATGTGTCAGCACCTCTGAGCTTTGTTCCAATCACTTCTTGAGAAATAACAGATCATTTTGGCAGTTACTCAGTAACATTGAAGACCTGCTTTCTGAGGCCCCAAGTAGCTGAGCTTGTAAGACCAAACAACAAAGTGCTGAAGAGGATCTGACCATGAGTCTGTGAATAACATCTCCATCAATCGCTGTGCATGTCAGATTTACCCCAGACAATGGGGGCTTTCTTTATTTCAGGTAGTGGCGCTCTTTCAATCACTGGAATCTGTACAGCACACCCAGAAAATGATAAGGGGCAAAGAGACCCTTGTATATACCTCTAGTTTGGTGGGTCACTGGGTGACCTCTTTCCTACCTCGCAGCTCTGCAGCTGAAAGATGCAGAAGCCTTAGACAGGACCAACAAAGACTTAGCCCGCAAGTCACTTGCTTCTTGATATTTGGCTACTTTTTCACCAAAGGAAAGCAGTTTTGCTGGAATAATATATCAAAATATAAAGGACAATGCTGATTTCTTAAAGGCTGGATAAAATCATGCTTCCCACATTAAAAAAACCCAACAGCAATAAAAGCCACTTAACTGTAATCTCACCAAGAACCAAAAATATTTCAATTTTATTTTTTTATATGAGTTGCTTTGTTTGCTCAGAATGTTATGAGCCAGAAGTGTAATTCATTGAGACTTGGCAGTCTCTTAGGTAAAGAATTGTCCTAAACACATTTTTGTATTATTGATGTAGTAACTTCCCAAATACATGAACAATTTCAAGGGTTAAACCAAGCCTTGCATTTTTGTTTCCAATCTAATTAATTCCAGTGGGTGAAAAGTCCATTCCCTGTGTTTGGGAAAAGCATAGAAGATGCAGAAGAAGTGTTCCCGTGACCTTTGTGTGGCAACAATTCGACGATGCTCTGCCTTGAATAATTAAAATAGATCCCAAAAAAGATCCATACATCTTCTCTGACAGTAAATTTATCCTCTCCTTTCTTCCTCCCTCTCTCTCTCTCTCTCTTCTGTTTTCTTTTTTTAATGTGAAGTGCCTAGCAGAGTGCCTGGCTCATTGTAAATATTCAATTAGTGAGAACTCTCATTATTATTACTGATGTCATTATTAACATTTCCATCTTACATGTGAAGAAACTAAGCACTATTAGAGCCTCAAAAAGACTTGACAAGAGAACAAGATTTTTTATACCTTTTTACCTTTGACCTTTATCCTCTCCTTTTTCATTTTTCAGTTGTTAATTAATTTAGTTATCAGGGTATAAAACGAAAAAGTAAAAATCTCC